TATCAGTGACTGGAAGTGACCCCCTTTGAAGGACATTAGTTCTGCCAGATTAAACTCTGCTGTGGCTAGTATCTTGAGGGTACTCCTTGGGCATTGCAGTGGTCATCCCGCTGCATTGTGCTATATATCTTCCTGTGGTGGGTTGACCCTGGCTGGATGCCAGATGCCCAGCAAAGTTGCTTTATCACTCCCCTCCTCAACTGGACAGGGGAGAGACAACAGAACGAAAGGCTCCTGGGTTAAGATAAGGACAGGGAGAGATCGGTCATCAGTTACCGTCATGGGCAAAACCTGACTTGGGAAAATTAGTTTATCGCCAATCAAATCAGAGTAGGGTAACGAGAAATAAAACCAAGTGGTAAAACACCTTCTCAATTCCCTCCCTTCTTCCTGGGCTCAACTTCACTCCTGATTTCCCCTACTTCCTCTCTCTGAGCAGCACAGGAGGACGGGGAATGGGGGCTGCAGTCAGTTCATTGCACGCTGTCTCTGCTGCTCCTTCCTCCTCACACTCTGCCCCTGCTCCAGCGTGGGGTCCCTCCCCACAAAGAGCGTTTGTGGTCCCTTCCACGGGGTGCAGTCCTTCAGGGACAGACTGCTCCAGCGTGGGTCCCCAACAGGGTCACAAGTCCTGCCAACAAACCTCCTCCAGCATGGGCTCCTCTCTCCATGGGCCTCAGGTCCTACCAGGAGCCTGCTCCAGCATGGGCTCTCCACAGGATGACATCCTCCTTTGGGTTCCTCCACTTGCTCCAGCATGGGGTCCTCCATGGGCTGCAGGGTCACAGCCTGCTTCACAGGCTACAGGGGAATCTCTGCTCCAGCACCTGGAGCACCTCCTCCACCTCCTTCTTCACTGACCTTGGTGTCTGCAGAGTTGTTTCTGTCACATATTCTCACTCCTCTCTTCTGGCTTCTGTTTCACAGGGGTTTTTTTCCCCTTCTTACATATGTTATCCCAGAGGCACTACCACCATCACTGATGGGCTCAGCCTTAGCCAGCAGTGGGTCCGTCTTGGAGCTGGCTGGCATTGTCTCTGCATCATATGGGGGAAGCTTCTGGCATCTTCTCACAGCCACCAACACCTTGCCACCCAAACCCAACACACTTTACATTCTACCTTTCTGGTTGCAGTTCTGTGGACAAACTTTTCCTCATCCCTGAGTTCAATATCCCCCTCTCACAGGTACAAACATCAACTAGTCCACATGCTTCATTAGTTCCAATGCTTGTAACAATTTCAATTCCTACAGCACTGACTACTGCCTGCAGAAGTCTGCCAGAATGCATCCTTTCTTCGGCCTCTTCTGATCAGAAGCAAATTTCATACTGATTGCAGTTCCCCTTGATGGTGCCTCCAGATCATCTAGACAGAGAAGGCCAGTCAAATTAGTACTTCACTTCAAGAAGGGTGAAATGATAACACCTTGTGTTTCACATGCACATGGCCACAAATAGTGGATACCTAGAAACTAAGATTTTACCTTCCTATTTCACCATTTCCATATCCTCAACCTGTCACGCTCATTTTTAAGTGCTCCTCCTTTCCATGCAACTCCCATACCCAGAGGCAGAGCACAAAACTGATTCTTCCCTCTCCTCAAAGCAAAGCAGTTATTATCTCTGTAAATCTGACCTTAAAACTACCAAGCCTCTTCTGGCACAAACTTTTTTTGGTATTTTAAAGATCTATAAAGAACATAAAAAACTTATTATACAAAGAAGAAGTCAAACCTAATTCCTCACCACCTTCTCCGTTCTTCAAGAGAAACTGAAAAGGTTACAGTGGCCCACAGGGTAGCATGCCAACCTTCCTCAGCTCCTTCTATTTAACCTCTTTTACCAGGGTTTCTCAGCTGCACTCTTTTGTTCAGCTCTTTACACTTCTATCTTATTTTTTAAAATAAAAATGTAACCCCTCCACTTTTATTTAAATGCTTTAATTTTCTTTCTAGTCTTATTTTACAGAAACAAATAATTTCTAAAAAGATAAACTAAAGAAGGTACCAGTAAACGTGGACATTGAAAACTTTCATATGACAATCACGATTAACAAAGCACTTGGGCATTATTTATAATACTGCTAATCCAAATTCATATAATGAGCTGAAATTAATTATACAGACTTATTAGAAAATGTTTCCTGTAGCAGTCACAGGCACACTTCAAGTCTCTTTTATATAGTAATTCTGTTGTTTGGTTTTCCAGTATAAATCCTAAAGCTTCATAGGAGTAGGTGATTCGTTCTTACATATATTAATCACTGATTTTTTTCCCCTCCTTTTGAACCAGAAAAATAAATCGAATTCTCCTTGTATTTCAGGATAATGAAATTAAAAGTCATAGAACGTAGCCATAAAGCGGGTATGAAAATATGCTGACAATCCTGATAAATATAATGATCACGTTTGCAGCGCTCATAGTTCTGGTGATGATGTTCCAAGGACAAAATATGGGCAAGACTGCTGACAGTTTCAGCAGCTCTATTTCTGTGACAGCCACCAGGAATCCACAACAGTCTCACCTTCACTAACTTACAATGGAATGGTGTAGTGGTGAGTCACGTCACTTCTTAATATACATACAGGAAAACAGAGTGCAAGCAACTTCAGCATGACAGCATAGGTACCCTACAGTTATTTTAACTCTTAGTAAAGACATGTCTAATGAAATGTTCGTAACAACTACCAAAAAGGTTGCTATTCTGAACCCTGCAGGTAGCAGTTGTTTAAGTCAGCAGGATTAACAAAATCAAGTAAGATTTTTCCAGCTATTTACAACACGTATCTGTTCACCACTTTACTGTTCCTTTCTCTGTATACAGTAAAAAGAAAGCTATTAACACAAGGAAATTAAAAATACATATTTTTCACTATCTGATTTTTGGCCATCAAACAGACATCAAAAAACCCGCAAATTGTCACACCTCCACACACACCTCTACTGAAAGAATCAAAATAGGTTCTCAAACCAAAACCACAATACTTAACATATGTACAGCATATAAGACTTAAGACTGGCAGCCAAAATTCAATAAGATGAGCATCTCAGTTTACTATCAATACACACGCTGAAAATCAAACCTGGCCATTAGCAGACAACATGCAAGTTACTGCCTGTCCAGATGACTACTTATTGCTACTCCTGGTTTTCAAGTCAGCAAGATTAACATACCAGGCCTGTTGTCAGTTCACTTCTCGCAGCTGAAGGAAAAACATATCACTGCACCCAAATGCTGTTTTTCATATATTAATGCTTTTACGATCTGCAGTGAGCTCCTCTCAGTGTAATTGCTTTGCTGCATAATGCATCACCCAGACCGAAAAGCTGTTTTGTCATTCCAGAATTACTGTCCTAGAAGCTGGCCGTCTGCAATGCAAGCTTTATTTCTGTACAAACAGATATACACACAATTATTTTACAGCTAGGTTTCTCCGTTACGTAGCCTCACCCGAGAGCAATATTCAGCAAGCTGACAGTATGGACTGCACTGTTTCCGAAACAACGTTGCCACCAGCTGGACAAACCTGTCTGTACCTGCCAGCTATTACCGAATGCCAGTGTATGTATGTGGATAAAAACTCCACCTATGAAAAAAACCACTTTCTCAATACCCTTATTTACATATCTGAAATAATTCAGTCATAAAATTTGGTTTCATGCTCCTTAATCAAAATTCAAATTCTGTGTTGCCTTAGTATCTTAAACATGTAGCACTAAAATCAGTTTATTAGCTTTCCACCAACAGTTGAAAAACTAGCTTGCAAAACTTTTTTTTTTTTTTTTATGTTCACCAATATTCCTTAGAATTCTCTGCAACGCTACCCAGCTGTCTATTCCCATCATCTATCCCATCCAGTTTCAGGACTGGCAACTGAAGAGTCATCTCACAGTTAACGAGTTATGCTGGATGACCTCTCATGACAACCACAGTGCAGTCGTACTATTTAATCACTGCAATCACTTTAAGGTAATCTTGTAAAAAATAGCACTTGCAGAATGTTATTAAGTACAGAGTCATCCTTTCTTCCAAATGAGTCTGCCTCACCATAGTGCTGAAGCACTTTGGAGACGACAGTTTCTTCCCACTTGAAAATAGAAGTCTCTGATAAACATCACACAATGTATCTTCAGTCCCACCCTGGCTGAAGGTTTGTATTTTCAGAAAAGTAACTAATTCTGAATTCTTTTATATTCCTGTGGGCAGAATGGTTCCTTTTTCAGGGTCTTTCCCTCTGTCTTGACACTTAAATTCTTAAATCCTTCTCTATTTCTAGCAATTACTTTCTTCACTGAATCTACTAACTTCTTATTCTTACAATCTATTCTGACAATCCAGGGACTTTCAATGTTTCAGTGTTCACTTTGTCAAGAGAATTAATGCAACCAAACAGCTCAGTTTTACATTTTCCTTCCCTTCCCCTCCAAACTGCCACTCCTTTCTACATTCACCCAGCAGAACTAAAATACCTTTGCAAGCTCGTATCTTTTTGCCATTACTCATGAGACCTCTTTAAAATTCGACAAAATACCTTTTAAAATCAGCATCTTTGCATGTTGCTGACAGCTGATACCATCGTTTAAACCTCTGCAATGAAGCCCTTCTTCTAACAACCTAATTATTCACAGACAAAATCAGGAATGCAAAACAACTTTCCTGTGACTACAAACAGGTAATGGTGGTCTCAGTTTCACCTGCACGTCTCAGATTTTAGGATATACATGAGACTATGTCTACAGTAGTGATGTGATTCAAAGCAAGCGTAGTTTTGTAGTGAATCCTGTGCTGCCTCTGTTTACCACTTGTTGATTCAGATCTCAAAGAAGTTTCTGTGTGCACAACTTGCCTTTTTTAAAGAATAAATCCTCACTTTTAAAACATTTAAGAAATTAACATGATATTAGGTGTCAAGGCAATGTGAAGGCCGTATGTGGCTATTAAATGCTCAGTGAGTCTTGCTGATGACTCCTTGGCTCTCCAGCTGACGAATCAACTCACGAATTGGGGCGAAGGAGTCTCGGTTTGTGCGATATTGCTGCCGGTGCACCATCCTGGCAGCAGTTGGCACCTGCTATTCTTTAACCCACAGCAATCCCACAATGAAGGGATCTTCCAAGAGGCCAAGCAGGGTACATAGTTGTTCGATCTTCTCTGTGTTCACAGTGGCTACACCAAAAGCCCATCAGTACCCCTTCGGGTCCCTGAAGTACCCTCTCCTGAGGCAAGTGATGCCAAGGATACAAGGGGCTTCTGGGTGGTCACAATGGGGTGCTTCTCCCACTTGTCCCCCGTCAAGCTCACCAGAGCCTCCAGTACAGGCAATTCCCAGCATCCCCCTGTCACTCCAGAGATCCGGATGGGTTCTGTGCCCCTACACCCTGCTGGCACCCGTGTACACTGTGCACCTGTGCCTACCAAAGCCTTATACTGTGAGGGTCTGATGAGCCAGACCATCAAATCCACACAGTCCAGTGTACCCGGTCACCCCTTTCCTCCTCCCGGCCGAAGGCTGGGACCCTCTATTCTTGTTCCTGGTCAGAGTATTCACTGTCTGACTCTTGCAGTGCCAGACCAGAAGTCCCCTCATCAAGATCAAGGGAGGTGATCTCAGATCTTCTGTGTCTGGGAGATTGCTGATCGACTTCTTGTGTCTCAACAGCAACTATGCTGACAGCCTTCTTGGGTTGCCCCTTCTTAACAACCGCCTCCCCTCTCAGTTCACGTACATGGGCTTCCAGCTTAAAGGTGTGTTCACCATCCCACTTCCTCATGTCCTCCCCCTGGTCATGCAGGAAGAACCAGAGCGTGCAACATGACATGTGCTTGGGGCTCCCTTTGCCTCTGATCAGCACAGGAGAGGACCGATTTCTTAGGACAAGTGTGACACCCAAGATGCTGTCCCATAGGGATGAGGAGGTACAGAGATTTTCCTCAAAGCCAAGAAGACACTCTTGCCACAGCTGATGCATCCATATCCAGGCAATACATTGCTGCCAAGCTGTTACAGTATGACGCTGGGGCACCTTGAATCACCTGCCTCCACATGACCCATGTGCACAGGACATCCTCTGGCTCTTTGGAGACCTCATCATCATCAAGATCATTGTAGATAACTTCCAGCACCACTAATTCTCTCAGCTACTGGATGCCTTCATCTGTGGTAGTCAACCTTCCTGGGGAATTCAGAACATCTTCCTTGAATGGGTACCTGTCCGTCTCCTGGAGAGAGTCCAGCGGAGGGCTACAAGGATGATGAGGGGACTGGAACATCTCTGCTACGAGGAAAGGCTGAGGGAGCTGGGCTTGTTCAGCCTGAAAAAGAGAAGGCTGCGAGGGGACCTACTAAATGCTTATAAATATCTGAAGGGTAGGTGTCAGGAGGATGGGGCCAAGCTCTTTTCAGTAGCGCCCAGCGACAGGACAAGGGGCAATGGGCACAAACTGAAGCACAGGAAGTTCCCTCTGAACATGAGGAAGAACAACTTCCCTCTGAGGGTGACGGAGCACTGGAACAGGCTGCCCAGGGAGGTTGTGGAGTCTCCTTCTCTGGAGATATTCAAGACCCGCCTGGACAAGGTCCTCTGCAGCCTGCTGTAGGTGACCCTGCTTCGGCAGGAGGGTTGGACTGGGTGACCCACAGAGGTCCCTTCCAACCCCTACCATTCTGTGATTCTGTGATTCCAGAGACAGCAAATTGCAGCTTCTTTGCCAAGTCCTCTCTGAATTTCGTGTTTTCTAGCAAGGGATCTCAGCTGTTGGGCTTCTTTACCTTCCAGCTGTTGATTGTCGATACTGTTATCCCAGTATCAGAACAGCCAGGCAGCAATCTGCTCACCTGGCTGGCAGCTGTAATCTTTTCACATGTGTCAAAGTTCTGATAAGGTCACAGACCAGATAGTTTCTGCTTCCTGTTTGAGCTCTCTCAATTCTTCCTCCAATTCCCTTCTCAAAAGGCCAGCTTCTTGATTAAATTTTTCCCTTTCTCCCTCCTCTCTTACTAATCAACGATGAGGACCCGTTGTTCTCCCACTGTTTCCTTTTCACTACTGGGTCAAACTGGGTCAATTGTTATAGTTGTTGTTGTCTGGGTCCCTACCTCAACCATATTGTCCTCAGGTGCAGTTTGGGTCCCTGCCTCAGCCACAGTCCTCAGAGTACTGAACTGTGGCTTGACAGGCATAGGCCAGGCCCCAGTACAACACTGGAAGCTGCTGGTTCTCATTAGGGTGAGCAAGTCACCCTTCTATCATGTGGCATGTCAGTTTGACAGGGTTGTTTGCCTGTTCAGCTGTAAAATTCCAGGCTATGGGAGGTGATAACCATCCCAGGAACCTGCCCAAATCCTTCCACACACCCTACCACCCAGGGGCTGGCCACTCCAGGGCACATTTCAGTATCACCTCACCCAAAAGCTGTTTTCTCTTACACCAGGATGGGACCATTTTCCACAAAACTCATAATATGCCAGAAGTATTAATTAGTAGTATTAAACCGCTCACGTAAAGGTGAGCAAGGACCTCAGGAGCCTGCATAATAAAACCATCCACACAAATCCCGGATAGGGAGAGGGAGATATATTCCCTCAGCCTCTCCACAGGATAGCTCCCGCAGTACAGCAAGGATGTCAATGCCAGGGCAAAGCACAAAGCCATTATTTGTATTAACATGTTCCCAAGCCCAGCAAAACAAAGAGATAAGCAGTGCAGCCAACCAGTGCCGTGACCCACCCAGGAGCTTGCCACTTAATAACTACTATAGCTATAGCATGCCTAATACAAAATTGCCGTCGTCTCATGCTCCACATTGGGTGCCAAAAGGGACTGTCGTGGTTTAGCCACAGTTGGCAATAAAGAACCATGCGGTCATTCTCTCACTCCTCCCCCATCCCTGGTGGGATGGGGGGCAGAATCAGTAGGAAAAAGCAAAACTCGTCGGTTGAGATAAAAACAGTTTAACAGAATGGCAAGGGAGAAGAAAATAACAATAATACTGATAAAAAGAATATACAGCACACAATGTTCTCACCATCCGATGCTCAGCTTGCTCTCAAGTAGCAAAATCACCATGTTACAGTCAGCTCCCCACTTAAACACCAAGCATGGCGTCACATAGTATCAAATATCCCATTTGACTGTCTGGTTTGGGTCAGCCCAACCAGCTTCCTGTGAAAATTTACCCTATCCCAGCCGAGCCCCGGACAAATCATTTCCCCAGCAAGTGGACTGGCAGCAATAGAATGAACTGACTTATCCTCAGCCACAAGATAATACAAACCTGAAGGAGGACTGGCATACTTTCCTGCTCTGGAACAAACCTGGCATCATTGCTCTGCTGACACCACAAGGATCGCCATCCACAGAAGTAAAAGCACAAGTTACAGTGGAAACGAGTCACCAGGGGGTGGAGAAATCGAGCGGATATAGACTCTCTCCCACCCAAGTAACCCAAAGTCACAAGGGACTGCCACAAGAGGCTGGCCAGGTTCATGGAATACTATTTCTTAAAAGAATAATAACACTCATGAAGAAGTCTGTTTTGCAAGCTGGTAACAGTCTGTAAGGTGGAAACGGAGGGAGAAAATTGGTATCTAGTTTAACAGAAATAAAATTTGTAACTACTAATACAATACACGCTGTACTACAGAAAATGCATTCGGTTATGTAGATGCATGTTCTCAAAACCCTTTAACCACTGAATTGTACTCTCTTTGTTTAGAAATAAGCAAGGCCTGATCTCATCTGATACCCTAGTCGAATAGTACAACAGTTGACCTGCCATAAGATACTCACAGCTACTCACAGTTTTCTCCTGCACAGTTTGGCCTGTGAATTTAGTATATTCTTGTTCTTCACCCATATCACTAATAAAAACTTTGAGTAGTTCTGGACATCAACAGACAGCTGGTAGATCCCTCTAAATACTCCCCTCCAGCTGACAGGTAACATTTCTGACTACTCCAAGAACAGTTTCCAACCTGCTATGCACCGACATAGCAAATTCATAATCCACAGTCTTAAATTTTGCACACAGAAAGATCTAAAAAACATCAAAATATTGTCGACTGAGAAAACAAATTTGATAAGCATCTGTCTTGTCAAACCAATAACTTCACATCAGTTTTCACTCACTATCTTGTAATATACTTATGAGTTACTATTTGTTCCTCTATTTTTCTAGAACCCGGGCCAGTTAACCTGATTCATGGAGGGTTTTTTTCTTTTGAGGTCCCTAAAACCTCATGATTTAGCCAGGTTATTTTATTGCTATATTTCTTAGCCTTCATCCCCATTAGGGTAATTTGTATTTGTGCTTTTAACAGTTCGAGGAGGTACAAGTATGAACTGTCCTACACACCTTTTCACTTCTTCTGTTTAGACACTCACAGGCTCTCTCTTGTTTCCTGAATTTACTGGAGACTGTTTTCCTGAACTAAGCTGTTCTCATTCTACCTATTTGCCTCCTTCTTTAATGACTGTTACACCCCACATCTCCTGGTCAAGTCTGTCTGACTGTAACAGTGAGTTCCATCAATCAATATAACACAGCACAAATCAACAGAACAAAAAGGAAAGTCTGAACTCTTTCATGAAAAAGTTTCACCATCAATTTCTTTTTCCTGTGGGGAAGTCTTGCTTACTTCATTCAGAGCTCTTTCATTCTGCTGTGCTGAGGGGCTCAGGTTTATTTAGATCATCTAAAGCAACAGCTAGCACACAGTGTCACATATACGTCAGTAAACTAAACAGAAAACAGAATTTTCAAAAGTAGTATTTTCACACAGAATTCTGGTAGCAGTATTTTTCATATGCACTCTTCTGTTCTCTAGTCACCTAAAAAGACAGTAAGGGAGAATTAACTGACTGTGAATGACCACATTTATGGAAGCTGTGGTAATATGCTTTAGTATCTCAAATTTCAGTTCGTAAAGCAAACTTATAATTACCCACCCCTTACTTTCATTCCACAGACTGAAGAGAAGCATGGGAAGAGTGAATAAAACATCAGTCCTCTGTCAGATATTTTTTTCTTATTCTGCCCTTTCATATCTTTTTAAAATACATGATTTTTTCCAGATAATATGCATTTGACTGGGCCATATCGGAGGAAATAAAAAGCTTAATAGCAAACCACTAGAAAGAGAGGAAAACTGAGATGAATATGGTTAGGAAGTAGAAGAGACTCTGTAAAAGTTCTAGCTCTTGATTCTATTTCAAGATATCTTATACAACTTCTTGCTATCTTACAGTTCAACCTCTTCATTCTCACTCCTGTGCCAGTTCTAGCTTACAATTTACTCTTCATTGAGTAATTTCAAGCCATTTTTCTATTACAGTTTTCTGTAGGAAAGTCAAATAAATGATAGTGAAAAGTTAGCAGTAGTGAGAAAGAAAATAAGAGGGAAGAGATCTCTCCCTTTTGGTGGCAGTAAAACACTGCATCAGCACAAGCCGGTGGTGCAGAACTTTCAACAGATCAAGACCAAGAAAGTAAGACAAGTGGCAGAAAGAGAGGAAAATCTAATAACAGAGGAGTACTGATAATTCATTAGACCCGCATTGTGTCATCTGTATCACTAAACCATAATTCATGTGTAAGAGCCTTAAGATTTATAAAAGTGCTGTTCTCACTACCATCAACCAGAGTTGCAACTGCAGAGCATTTGAAAGCCATCCCTCCCTGCTCAAAGCAAAATCAGCACAACTTCACATCTGAAGTATTACACTCAGTATTCCCACAGTTCATCTGAAGAAAACCTGGGAAACATAAAGGCTACAACAATGTGTTCTTAGATACAACTATTTCAGTTTCAGTTCAACACACACTGAGTACCTGCTGAATGTAACAGCTATATCCCAACCTTCCCTGCCCTATTACTGACACTACAGCTACTGTGTAATTATGTTCCAAATACAGAGATCAGTCTTAAAAGTTTCAGCAGAGGGCTTTCACTGTGAAAGGCATGCCAGCATAAATTCATAGCAGCCTTCCCATACCTGAAGAGGGCCTGCAGGAAAGCTGGAGAGGGACTTTTTACAAGCGCATGTAGTGATAGGACAAGGGGTAATGGCTCTAAACTAGAAGAGGGTAGATTTAGATTAGATATAAGGGAGAAATTCTTTACTGTGGGGTTGGTGAGGCACTGGCACAGGCTGCCCAGAGAAGCTGTGGATGCCCCCTCCCCAGCAGCATTCAAGGCCAGGTTGGATGGGGCTTTGAGCACCCTGGTCTGGTGGAAGGTGTCCCTGCCCATGGCAGGGAGGCTAGAATGAGATGATCTTTAAGCTCCCTTCCAACCCAAACCACTCTATGATTCTATGAAAAAGATTGCCAGTATTGGTATTGGTGATAAAACAAGTCATTTTTACTGGCAAATAAGGACTGACACTGCAATAATCACATACAAGAAATTCGACTGTAGTTTTTACTGCTTCCTGTACGCTAGAAGACACAGCCTTTTGTACGTCCCTCACAGTCACCACGAATCCCAACAGTGAGAAGACCAAAAGCTGAGAGCAGGACACAGAAAGCCTAGAAGTGTTACACTGTCATATTAACCCAGAGGAAAAACATGCCGCTGACCAAAGGGTGTCCACATCACCTTCCCAGACACTTGTTCGAGCAGACCGGCCTTAAATCCCTGCTAGTTGTTCATGAAGTGGTGCAGCAAAACAGGTCAAAAGGAACTGCTCTGAAGACAAAGTAACTCCAGAAGGCAGCGGATGTTTCTGAAGGGAAGGTGTGGACCCCTTCCCTCCTTTCCTTTTAGGAAGGGTACTGACTTAAGTGACCGTACAGCCTCAGGCTTTCTGTTTCTCCTCCTACTTTGAAGAACAGGAACTATAAAGTCTCCACAGCCTGGGGGTGCTCCGGCTGACGCGGTCATACAAAACACAGGGAGCACAGCAAGCAGATACAGACGCGTGTGCGGGGGGAGGAGAAAGGACGGTGAAACATTACAGCGTGTGCACTTGGGCACCTTCAGGGAAGCTGCCTTCAGCAAACCACACGCAGCTCCGCGCCGCAAGCACGACATCTGCGGAGAATGACGCGAGGACAGCCTATAACAGCACCCGGGCTATTTCTCCTCAGGAGCGCAGCGCGCACACGGGCAGGAACTCATCTAAAAACACACTCGGGAGTGCTCCGAAGCGCCAGGACGAGCCGGTTTCCTCGCTGCGGACCACCACG